CTCCTCAAAATTCCCCTTCCTAAGCTAAACTGGCTTTTCTCTGCATGGCGCTCAGTCGGTTCTGTTTCTCTGAGTCACTGGCTCTTGATGAAAGGAGGCTCCCACTTGTTAAAAGATTCCCCATTCTTACTTTTGAAAAGGAAATAGTTATTCTCTCATTTTAGGAACACTAATTTCATGCCTCTGTGGGATATAGACCCGGGTCGGGGCTGAAGAAGCTAAGTGATGACATGCGGGCCCTGAAAGTACTTACCATCAAGGGGACGACAGAGCCAGAGAAATATCCCCATGGTCCCCATTCAGCCATCAGTAGGTCTTCATCACTGTTGCCTACTGTCTTACATTCTTTGATAAGGAAAAAATTTAATTTTTATTTATTTTACTTGAAAGACAGACAGACATATTCTTCCATCTGTGGGTTCACTCCCCAACTGCCTGTAACAGCCAGGCTGGGCGAGGCCCAGAGCCAGGAGCCCTGAACTCTATCCAGGTCTCCCATGTTGGTGGCAGGGGCCCAGCACCTGAGCCATCATTTGCTGCCTCCCAGGGTGCATTAGCAGGGAGCTGGATTGGAAGTAGAAGAGCCAGGACCCAAACCAGCACTCCAGTATGCAACGCGGGTGTCCCTAGCAGTGGTTTAACCCAGTAAATCACAGTGCCTGCCCCAGACAGTTATTTTTTTTTTTTTTTTTAATCTTTTATTTAATGAATATAAATTTCCAAAGTACGACTCATGGGTTACAATGGCTTCCCCCCCCATACCGTCCCTCCCACCAACAACCCTCCCCTTTCCCACTCCCTCTCCCCTTCCATTCACATCAAGATTCATTTTCGATTATCTTAATATACAGAAGATCAGCTTAGTATACCTTAAGTAAGTATTTCAACAGTTTGCTCCCACACAGAAACATAAAGTGAAAAATAATAGATGATTTTTTTAAAATGATGATGAAATCAGATCAGACCTATCCAGACAGTTATTTTTAAGAAGTACTATTGAAGCCTGTGCCCATTCCCCCCACCCCCAATTATAGCAATTTTAACTCAAGGAAGTGAGTGGTAGCTCGTTTCATGCCTTTTCTATGTGGAGGACACAGGTGCATACCTGTCCACAGCCCAGCAGCTGGGAGTCCTTCCTGGCCACCATCCACCTCAGCCTTTCGTCCTTTGGAGAGTGGCCCTAGGCAGGCTCAGTGTGGGTATGTCCAGGGCCTGGCAGCACAGCAGCTGCTGAGGGCGCCTGACTGGTTATACAATTCTCGATTTTTGAAGGAATAGTTTTAAAACTAATGGTTTGACCCATTATCTTTTTTTTAAAGATTTATTTATTTGAAAGAGAAGGAGAGGCAGAGAAAGAGGGAGAGAGAGGTCTTCCATGCATGCACTGGTCCACTCCCCAATTGGCTGCAAGGGCCAGAGCTGTGCTGATTCGAAGCCAGGAGCCAGGAGCTTCTTCCAGGTCTCCCATGCAGGTGCAGGGGCCCAAGGACTTGGGCCATTTTATACTGCTTTTCTAGGCCATAGCAGAGAGCTGGATCAGAAGAGGAGCAGCTAGACTCGAACCTGTGCCCATAAGGGATGCCGGCATTGCAGGTGGCGGCTTTACCCACTACGCCACAGTGCCAGCCCCCTTGACCCATGTGCTATGCCTCTTGCACATGGTATCCTTACATTCCTTAAAGTATTTCCTTTTTCCTTTTCTAAGGTAAACTCAGCTGGTTCCAGGGTCCTTAGCAGACTCTGATCCCAGGGTAGAGTCTACTCCATTTAGATAATCATTGGAATGAGACTCAACATGGCTGAGTGCTGAGTGTGGGTTTTAATAGCCGCCTGCCACCACCTTGGTTGCTGTGAGGCAGGTGGCCTCTCCAAACCCCTAGATCTCTTGATGTTACAAGTTGGATCTTCACCATTCTGTCCTACAGTTGTTTCAGTGTTGCTGAATCATAGGCAACTTTACATGTAGTCCTGTTAAATTTAATCTTACTGAGGGTTATTTTTAAATGTTTTTTCTTGTGGTAAAACATACATAATGTAAAACTTACCTTTTGTTTTTTTGAAGAACAGAGACAAAGATACAGACAGAAAGCTCTCCCACCTGCTGATTCACACTCTGAATGTCCACAAAAGCAGCAGCTGAGCCAAACTGAAGACAGGAGCCCAGAGCTCGGTCTGGGTCTTCAAGGGGGTGGCAGGGGCCCTCCTTGAGCCCTCGCCTGCTGCCCCCCAGTTGTGCATTAGCAGCAGGCTGGAATCAGAAGCAGAATCAGAACTTGACCCCCAATACTGTAACACGACATGCTGACGTCCCAGTGTTTCAACCACTGTGCCAAATGCCTACCCCATTTCCACCATTCTTAAGTGCAGTCCAGGCGCATGAAGTACATTCCTGCTGTCGTACAACTATCACTATATATTGTCCATCCCCAGAACATTTTTCACCTTCTCAAAGTGAAATTCTATACCAGTTAAACATAATTTCTTATCTGACCCCACCCCATCCTAGCCACCTTCTGTCCTGAACTTGACTGCTCTAGGTGCCTCATTTAAGTGGAAACATACAGTCTCTGTCTTTTTGCTACTGGCATAGTTCACTTAGCATATCATCTTCAAGGTTCATCGTGCTGCAGCGTGTGTCAGAATTCACTTCCTGTCTGAGGTTGAATAGTAGCCCATTATATACACCATACATTGTTAATTCATTCGTCATCCCTGGAGGGACATGTAGTGATGTAAACATGAGTGTACAAATGTCTGTTGGAGCCTCATTGATCTTACTGATTATGGAACCCACCCATTACATTTTGCCCTTATTTTGTGTTATTGAATAATTATCTGCAAATGAGATGATATTGACCTCTGGTTTTAACCAAGTCCTTCCCCCTTTTGAAAGATTTATTTATCTGAAAGGCAGAGTGACAGAGGAAGCAGAAGACATACCCTGTGCAGAGAAAGGGAGAGCGCACGCTTTCATCTGCTGGGTCACTCTCCAAATGCCTGCAGCTGCCAGGACTGGGCCAGGAGCCAGGAGCTCCATCCAGACCTCCCACATGGGTGGCAAAGACCCAAGTACTTGGTCTGTCATCCACTGCCTTCCCATGGGCCTTTGGAGGAAGCTGGATCAGAAGCAGAGTAGCTGCCACTCAAACTGGCACTCCAGTATGGGACACGGTTATCCCAAGCAGTGGCTTAACCTGCCGCACCACAATGTCCTCCCCTTAAGTCCATTCTTGATAACAGTGTTACATTTCCTATTGATCTGAAAATGGTGATTTCTCACAATCCAGTCTTTAAAAAAAAAAAGAAAGATGTATGAAGTGGTCTTCACAGCTGGACTGTGGGAGCAGAAGACTAGTCTGCCCCAGTGCAGCCTTGCAGGCCATGCCTCAAGGCTACGACAGAGCTGGGGGATGGGGAGGGGGGCTGCTTGCTGGTTACCTGTCTGTTTGAGGGTCTCTAACACTGCAGAGGACCAGCTGTGGGGCACCAAAAGGAAGGGAACTGCGTCTGTGAGTGACCTGATGCGGACTGAATTCCCTTGCTCCACAAGTACTTATTGAGCTCCTACTTGTGAAAAGCACAGCGTGCTTTTGGAAAACAAAAAATGAATAAAACACACTCGGTGCTTTCAAGATGATTGCAGCACAGAACATTAGAGGAACGTCCCTAGTACAGCCTGGAGATCTTCGGGCAAAGCTTCAGCCACAGCTACAAGGACCCGTCATCTTGAGGTGAAGAGGGTTACAAAACACATCACAGAGCAAAGTGCACTCAGAAATGATGTGTTCGTATAGACAGGGACACACTGAAAAATCTCAACATGAAAGCTTTAAAGGTGTTTAGCTTTTACCTTAATTTGACTAACAGAAAAGCCCAGGGAAACAAAAAGTACTCTTGCTCTTGACAGTATAAGATTCTTATTATTTTTAGAGAATAGTAACTATGCATTTATGAAGTTCTTTGTCAGAGCAATTTAGTTAATAGCTATGTAAATGACGACTTACTTCATTGTGTAGGTGGATCGCTCCATGTACACTTTCTCAGAAAGAATATAAGTGCTAAAACTATTAACATCGCAAATGGAAGGAAGCAAGTTAGGGCTAGGGTGCCAGACCCTTGCTGTCTTAGTGTGTCAGGAGACACAAAGTCCCTCTTGTGGTTGAGGTTTGGTGGGTTTATCAAGTGGTCACTTTTTTGTTCACATCCAACTCCTGGAGTGAACTGGGGTGCAAGGTTGTTTCTTACTGCTGATTATCGAGCACAAAGACGCCCTGCAATGAACTCAGCTGGGGTGGGATGGGGGAGCTGCTGGAAGTTAGTGCTGCAGCATAAATTTCCATGCACAAGAACATCTCCTTAAAAAGCCCCTAAGGGCTTCTTTAGAAAGGTCATTGTTTTTTTCAGCCTAAAAACAGCTTCGGAGGAGGCTGAGAACGCCAGAGCCCTCTGGCCCTAGCTGCCTCCTGTGGCCAGCATGGGAGCGCCTGTACTGGTCCGGGAGTGGAGCTCAGGCCTAGTCTCATACCCTCACCTCACTGGGATTCTTCCCACCCAGTGAACTCACCTCTCGCTCAGCTATGCTTTAATCATTCTATTCCGCTTCTTTGAAATCTCCTTGGATTCCTGGTTGTCATGCAAACACATTGAAATGCTCCATAATGGATCCCAAGCTTCTAACCAATTTGCCCTCCCACCCTCCCTCCTTAACTGCTCTTATTCCCACTAACCTCATCTCCCTCCCGTCCCCGTCCCTGGCTTCAGGTAGCAGAGGAAGGAACAGGCAGGGAGTCAGTCGCCAAGTCTGCCAAGTCCGTTTCTTCCTGTAGGCTCCAGCTCTTTGAGTTGTCCTCACGGGTCAGGACTTCCAACCCTCCCCACTTGACTCCACACAACCGCTGTCACTTCTCATTGCTGGGAAGTTCTTTCCTGCTGTGCAGGGAGGGCCCCTGGTTAACATTTCTTAGATGTTTGCTACTGTTTTTGTTTTCCCTTTCCTTCAGGTGCAGAGTGAAGACAGTGTCCTCCTGTTTGTCATTGCCTGGACAATCACAGAAATTATCCGCTACTCTTTTTATACCTTCAGTCTATTGAACCATCTGCCTTACCTCATCAAGTGGGCCAGGTAACAAGTCCTTGGGACCAAGACTAACTCTTGCCATCGTCCACCACTGCATTGCCCTATATGGCCTAAACACTGCCTCCAAGTTTCTAAAACTAAAATTATCTGAGACAGGTTGGGTAGAAATCTGGTGTGTAGATTCATCATAAGGGGCTCTACCAACCTCTAATTAATAGAAACACTGTTTTAAATTTTCTACATTTCACTTAAGTTACTTTTATTGGAATCAATAAGATTAAATTATTCAATAGAGATTTGATGTAAAATCCCTTTGTTGTCTATAGTAAATTTTACTGATAAGCTTCTGACATGATTTTTTTGGACCTAGTTCAGTTTTTCTAGTCTCAATGTTGCCAAGAGCCTATATGACTCTTAAGTTAATTTTTAGTTAATAATAAATATCACCGTAGCAGTGTGAGCTTATCAATTTTATTTTTATTTCCCCCCCCCCCCCCCAGCAAAAGTGACTATGAGTTAGATAAAAGGTTAATAGTGCATCGGTTTGTCTTAACTAGTCCATGAGGCAGCTGTGAACGGATTTCTGAAACTGGAAAAGACCACAGGGGATGGGGAGTAGGGAGCCAGGGAGGAGTGACAAAGTAGAAGGCTCCACGTTGTCCTTGGGGCTAAATTGCCTCCCTCTGGAGAAGGCAGACTGGTTCCTGGACAGTTTACCAATTTGATGGTTAAATTAGGGACATAATCCAGTTGTTGCTGACATTTCGAGTATGAGAGCTCCTTTATTTTTATCACTTTCTTTTTGCAATAAACGTCTTTATCAGGAAAAGGGGAGATGGGGACAGCCTTGGTGAAGCCATCTGCCACCACGCCCTGATTTTACTGTTGGAGGAAGAGCTTTTGTCCGTTGTTGGCCTAGGAGAGATTCCTCCTTTTCCACTCTCCTCGTTCGCAGTGGGGAAATGTGTCTTCCCTTCATCTTTGTAGATGTCCCAGCAAAATTCCCACGCCTGGAAATTTAGAGTCCAGTGCTTGTCATAAGCCATGAGCTGTCAAAGCCTTCATAGCGTCTGAGCTAGTGATCCCTTTAGCAGCCATACTTCTGTCTCCAAAGAGCTTCCAGATAGTTCCATGGGGTAGTAACTGCTCCCATGTGACAGTCAGTTGTGGGGTTTTTATAATTGGAAAATCACGTAATGACCCAAAGCTGTTAAGAATTTTAAATGAATGTTCTAAATTAGAGCACACTTCATTTTTCACATGCACTTCTCTCAGTCCACAGACCAGACTGGCTGTGTGTTGTAGCCATTCCAGTGCCTCCCACCCCTACCAACCCCGCCCCATCACCCCCCAGGACAAGAACCATCAGCATGGCTCTATTTACCTCTGCTTTCTTTTTAAGATTAATTTATTTATTTGAAAGAGTTACACAGAGAGAGGAGAGGCAGAGAGAGGTCTTCCATCCACTGGTTCATTCCCCAGTTGGCCACAACAGCTGGAGCTGTGCCAATCCAAAGCTATGAGCCAGGAGCTTCTCCCATGCAGGTGCAGGACCCCAAGGACTTGGGCCATTTTATACTGCTTTCCCAGGCCATAACAGAGAGCTAGATTGGAAGCGGAGCAGCCGGGACTAGAACCAGCGCCCATATGGGATGCCGGCATTGCAGCCGGTGGCTTTACCCACTACACCACAGCACCAGCCTGTACCTCTGCTTTGCCAGCATTCCACATCACCTTTTTGTTTCAGAACATCCAGAAGCATATATCTGCTATGAGCCCTTTTCAGAAACTAGCTTGTAAAAGCTGAATCTAAGCAGCAGGTCCACAGGAAAAAGGCATCAACAGGAGCTTTCTGAAAGACCAGTGCCGATTGGGAGATAAAGCTGGCCTTGTGTGTGGGTGGTGAGTGAGTGGTTTCATCTTGTCTTGTTTCAGGTACACACTTTTCATTGTGCTGTACCCAATGGGGGTGTCAGGAGAGCTGCTCACCATCTACGCGGCGCTGCCCTTCGTCAGGCAGGCTGGCCTCTACTCCATCAGCTTACCTAACAAGTACAACTTCTCCTTTGACTACTATGCATTCCTGATTCTGATCATGATCTCCTACATTCCAAGTAAGTAAACACTCCTGCAAGTATTTACTTCCAGTTTGAAAACAATGGCACTACCATGACTAAAGAAGTGTCTCTGATTGGGTTTGCATCACATCCAAGTCAGAGTAAGTCTGACTTATTGAGAATGCTTTGGTTTTGATTTTGAATGCTGTCAAAGAGGATTCTCCCTGGTAATCATTGACTGAAGATGAACCCTTCTCAGTGCAGCTGCCAAATGCAGCCCTTGTCGGTGCGTGGGTTTGGAGCCATGACTAGCAGGATGGGGGGGCGGGTACTGACTGGAAAACAGAAAAGCCATTAAAGACATTCCCTTGAGTTTATCTTTCTGTCTCTTGAGAAGTGCTTATTGTGATACGTGAAAAACATTGTAGAAAGATGTTTGCATTGCTTACCGTATCAAAATAGACAGTTTACTTCATTGTAAGAGGTTGGTAGTTAACTGGAAACAAATAACAAAATAAAAATAGATTTGTTCTCTCCATGCCTCTCCCTTTCCCGTTGAGCACTAAGCCCATCTGAATGGGACGAAGTGTCCTCTTCAGGATGGTTCCCAGGCGCTCTGGTAGCACTGCTGGCATCTAACTCTGCGGCTAATCCAGCGGCCTAGGGCCCCCGGGGACAGAGGAAGAGGTGGCGGATGCTCGCATGGGGGCTGCGTCCTGTTGGCCCAAGCCGAGTGTAGTCCTTTTCTTGGATTCTGATGTTCAGTTGTAAGTCCTGTGATTGATCTCTGTGTACCAAAGGGATCTCATGGTGTTTCTTCTCATTTTGCTATTTCTGTAGCCGTTGTAACTCTGAATCTTATTTTAGTTGGTAAAGGATGCTATATTCTTCCCCAAACCTCAAGCTAAATTCACACAGACTTGGATTTTTCTTCAGCCCACAGCATTCTCAGTGAATCATCCTAACAATCATAAGCGACATGTTTGTGTCCCTCTGTGGAAAATTGCATTTCGTGCATTGTGAGGGGAAAACTACGTTCAGATTTCATGTGAACGTTTATCTTGGAGACGGTCTTGGTCACAGTTCTGCTTCATGATTCATTTTCCACTTTTTTTTCATTATCAAGTCCCCTCCCTTTAGTGCTGGAACCATGGTGGCTAAAGGCCATCTGTCATCGAATGAAACAGTAGTTAATTTTCAAACAAAGGGTAGGTATAGAGGATTCTAAAACTTTAATAAAAATTAACATAGTTTTTTGCGTTTCTAGTTTGGTTTCCTTTGAGTTCTGTCTTCTCTCGTCTCTAGAGAACAATGTGTGGTTGTAGTTCTGCCACACCTGGAGTAACACCTGCTGTCTCAAGGGCACCACAGTGTGTCTCTGAATTCAGCGCAGTTGTTGAATGATGAGGGGAGAAGTACCGTATCGGGTGACCAGGAAAGAGATTGGAAGAGTACCATGAAATCAAACCCCTAGGAAGGGCCTTCAAGGGTCCAGCTGCCACCTGTGGTGCCAGCATCCCATATGGGCGCCAGTTTGAGTCCTGGCTGCTCCACTTCCAATCCAGCTCCCTGCTAATGCCTTGAGAAAAGCAGCAGGAGGTGGCCCACATGTTTGGGAGACCTGGATGAAACTCCTGGTTCCTGGCTTTTGTCTGGCTCAGCCCTGGCCATAGCGGCCACCTGGGGAATGAGCTAGCAGATGGAAGATCACTCTGTCTCTGTCTCTTCCTTTCTCTCTATAACTGAAGTAAATAAATAAATCTTTAATTAAGGGGAAAAAGAAGGGTCCTCTGCACTGACACACACCTGGGATTCGCCATCTCCATGTCCCTCCAGAATTCCAAGCTAAGAAGGGGCAACCTGGGGCTGGTGCTGTGGCGTAATGGGCTAAGCCTTCCCTGCAGTGCTGGCATCCCATATGGGTGCCCGTTCAAGTCCTGGCAGCTCCTCTGCCAATCCAGCTCTCTGCTATGGCCTGGGAAAGCAGTAGAAGATGGCCCAGGTTCTTGGGCCCCTGCACCCACATGGGAGACCTGGAAGAACCTCCTGGCTCCTGGCTTCAGATCAGCTCAGCTCTGGTCGTTGCAGCCATGTGGGGAGTGAACCAGCAGATGGAAGACCTTTCTCTGTCTTTCCTCTCTGTCTGTAATTCTGCCTCTCAAATAAATAAATCTTTTTTTAAAAAAGAAGAAGAAGAAGGGGCAGCACAGTCTGTGTGCACCTGCTTGTGCCCTAGCAGCTGAGCCTGCTGACCTTCGGTGTTAGTGACGAGGCCCTCTCAAGATGACAGGATTGCGGTTCTATGAGGTTTTCCTTCTCGCCCTGGAAAGAGAGGGAGCAGAGAGAGTGCACAGCCCTCGGGGCAGCCATCTCTTAGGGACCAGGGCAGGACTTTCCTCCCGACCAAGCTCTGCTTTTGTTACCTGCGGTCCATCTTTCTCCCAGTCACAGCCTCCTATAGGTAAGACAGCTTGGCTCGGCTCAAAGCTAATGTATTTTCTTCTTATTTATTTGAAAGATGGTGAGAGAGAGAGAGAGACTGACAGACACACAGAAACAGAGAGATCTTCCATCTGCTCATTTTTCTAACCAAATGCTCACAACAGCTGGGCTGGACCAGGCTAAAGTCAGGGGCCCAGAACTCAGTGGGGTCTTCCATGTGGGTGGCAGGAACCCTGGCACTTGAGCCGTTGCCTGCTGCTTCCCAGGGTGCATATTAGCAGAGAGCTGGCATCAGGAGCGGAGCCAGGATTCAAACCCAGGCACTCCGAAAGAGTCACTGCGAATCCCCGACTCCCCACCGCACCCCAGGCCCAAGGTGGCGGCGCAGACCGTACCTCTTGCTGCAAATCATCATTTGTATCTGCCGCACCCTGTGCTTCTGGCCCGAGCCTCCTGCCCTGAACAAGTTAGTTCTGCAGGTTGTTAACGCTGAGACCAGCTTGTACAGCTCATTGCAGACCACTGCACATTCCCAACTTTCCATCACTGCATTTGTAAGAAGAAGGAGAAGGTGCCATTGATGTGCGGCCTCCTGCCCCAAATCTGGTTTTCTTTCTGCAGCTTATGGTGCTTTTACTCTTCTTCAGTGGGAAGCTGGTGATGCGCACTTATTATATAAAATAACACCCTTTATGCTCCTGATCATTGTTGCACATGTTGCCCAGGTCCTGGCTCATGAGCTTTGGGGCGAGAGTTCTCGTATTGGGGTCCTTTGGGTCCTGGCAAGGGGCTTCTCTCCACCTCTGATTCCCCTGCAGGGTGTACAGTGTCCATACGATGCAGCGTCTGCAGTACACAGTAGGCATGTCAGTCTGGTTTACATTTCCCCTGCAATTGGTGAAAATTGCTAGTGGGGGAAGGGGCCAAAAAGAAAGGTTGAGAAACACTAACCCGGGGGAGGGCCCAGCGAGGCTGGCTCTCTGCAGACTGTCAGTGACTGCAAGCCCCTCGCCTCCCAGGCCCGCTCTCCCGACATGGTAGAGAAGGGCCCACCGCACCTCCAGCACACAGACAGCCGCCCAGGCAAGCACCACAGCTCCATACTCTGAGTCCTCAATCAGGAGAGCAGAAGGTAGAATGCTCTGGTGGGTTGAGATTTTCTTAGCGTATGTCCTCAGTGTAGCCCCGAATAGTTAAAAATAGTACGGAAGCATCTGGAGTAGTTTTAGCCATTATATTGGGGTTCAGCCTGAGCACGTGGACATTCCAGCGGAAGCAGTGTCCACATTCTGGCCACCCGGAAGTCACAGGCAGACTGTGGGGAGTGGCCCGAGCGCCCCCAGACACTGGCCCCCACACCCATTCCTCTCTTGGGCCCCGAGGAGCCTGTGTGCGATGTAAATGGATGGAAGCGGCTCATCTGCCCCCACTCCTGGCCTCTGAGCCTGGGGACAGGCCTCTGCCGGTGGACACGAAGCTTTAGTTGCCGCAGCAGGCCTAGCGGACAGCTTTAGGCAATGTCCTCTCATGCCTGTGGGCTGGCTGGGAGGCCACACGAGCCTTGTGCACCTGCCGTGTACACTGAGCCCGCCAGTGGGGACTCCTCAGTGTCCTTGGCTCACCGTGTCCCTTCACCGGAGCCAATCTAGAGAAATGTCACCAGCCCGTTTCTAGATGATGACAATTAGCATTCTCTATGGTATAATTATATCCTTGCTTCCAGTTTTCAGATCCTAGAGCTTGCCAGATTTCCTGACTTTCATACCAAAATAGCCCTCTCACTGTGGAGTTGGATGTCTGGAGACAGCCAGCGGAGGGAGAGCTCCGCGCTGGCCTCCCCTGGGTTGTGGGATCCAGAGACCCTTGGGAGGAGAATTTGAAGTGTGGCCAACTTGGAACCTGTTTGAAAGGAAGAAAGTGCCAGGGGATGGTTGGCAGTGAGAGTCGTCACCTCCCCCAGATACAGGGTGCTGTTTACAAAGCTGGGAGCAGAGCAGTTGTCGGGGTGGGGAGCCCCGCATGCCTCAGCTGCCGGTGTCTGCACGGTGCTCGGTGCGCGCACTGTAGTCTGCAGGTGTGCTGCGGAGGCCAGGGCACCCACACCGCCATTTGTCTGCTGGCAAAAGTCATGGGCATTTTGGGTGGGCCCTTCCTTCGCTGTGGGGGGCTGTGGCACACTGCAGGATGCTCTGGTGTCCCTGGCCCCGTATGCTGAATGCCTATGACCCTTCCCCTCATTTCCAGATGCTCCCTAGAGAGGGGGCACCACCCCGTTAGATGGAGACCTGGGACTTTTCTACAGAGCCTGCAAACAGAAGACTCCAGGCCCTGGCTTATTTCCATAGGGCTTTGCTGACACCCACACCAGGCGTAGTTGGTTCAGCCCAAATGCTGTTGCACTCCCCGCCACCTTGTAACAGTCATGGTGAAGGAGGGTTCTGACTCGGCCATGATTTGCTGTGAGACCCCGGGGCCAGCTGCTCGCCCTCCTGGGGCTCAAGCTCCTCCTCCATCCCCAGAACTCCTCCCCGAGTTTTTGTGGAATTTACCAGAACAGTAGGACTGGAGTCTGAAAGAGGGTAAGCAGTATTGGTTGGCGCTCTGAGGCTTCTAGACCAGTCCTGGTGGCGGCGGCAGTGTCCATGCCTGGGCTCCACGCTGGCTTCCCCCTAGGCCAGGGCAGGAGAGGGTAAGTCTCCCTGTCCCCCACACACCCCGCCCTTCCTCTTCGTTGCCTTCTTTGGTCGCTGGACAAGAAAGCCGTCCGAGGGGCAGTGAGGACCTGAGCCCGTGTGCTTTAAATAGAACATGCAGTTGTAAATAATCCCTCTAACCAGTTCTCTCCTTTCCTTCCAGTTTTCCCCCAGTTGTACTTCCACATGATACACCAGAGAAGAAAGGTCCTCTCTCATCCTGAAGAGCACAAGAAATTTGAATAGTTCCTGCCGTCTGCAACTCCCCCTTCCCTCCCAAAAACACAACTTCAATGATCAAAAAATGCTGCAGACTTTTTGAGTTCCCAATACGTTTCATAGAAAATAAGTAAGAACTATTTTTAAAATATTAGAAACAAGAGTCCAGTGTCACAGGGGACTGGGATTTTATAAGAAAAACAAAAACAAAAACAAAAATATGTAGAAGGCTGTTAGGTAAAACATTCTGAACGGTCCATCTCGGCATGCTGCTTCCCCCAGAAGCCCCCAGGCTTTATGGCAGCAGGAGAAAGGGATCTGGCGTGTACAGCCTCCCGTGTCCTTCCTGGAGCTGAGAAGTAAGGGCCGGTGACCTAAGTGCTTGAGAGTTCCCGTCTGAGTCCTGACGCCCCAAGCTTGCAGCACGGCCGCGTTTCAGTCTGCAGCGTGTTCAGCGTTCCTTTTGCAAAGTGCTTGACTGCATGCTGGAAACTATTTGTATTTTTGAAGCAGCAAACTCTGTTCTCTGGAATGCTCTGAAGTCTTGGCTGGGACCCCTCCTCCCTCCCCTCCCCCTCCCCCTGCGAATGAATTCTAAAACGCCCCTGCCTGTGAAGTTTTGGGGGAGTGCCCATAGTCAGAAAACAACTTGAACCCTGTTGTTTGTTTTCAGTTGAGTCCTTACTGCCTGCCACTGAGAAATGTGCTTGAATTTAGTAAGTACGTGGGCATCCTAAGGAGCCTGCCTTTCTGGAGCTCAGCCTCAACCATCTTGTAACACAAGGACAGTCCTCAGAAAGGGAAGCTCCCCAGTCAGTGTCAAGTACCCTCCCAGGTCCCCTCCCAGAACACCTCTGAGTGATGTCTGCCAGTCAGCACATCTCATGTATGGGCCTGAAGCCAATCTAGTCACACTCGAGTAGGGAACACACACGAGTGTGAAAACACACAGAAGGTGTTGCTTTAGCAGTGGTGTCTGGGGCGGGCACTGTAGCGCAGCAGGTGAGACCAGACTGCCCTACGTCCAGTCCAGCTTCTGCTAATGCATTCTGGGAGGCAGCAAGTAGTAGTTCAAGTGTGGAGGCTCCTGCCGCCCATGTGAGAGAGCTGGATGGAGCTGTGGCTCCTGGCTCCGACCTGGCCCAGCCCTCACTATGGTGGGTGTTTGGGGAGTGAACCAACAGATGGAAGTTTCTCTCTCTCTCTCTCTCTCTCTCTCTGCCTTTCAAGTAGGTAAAAAAAAATTAATGTAACTAAACATTTTTCTTTAGTGATGCCTGGAGGACTATTCAGGAATGGGTTTACACACCACAGTTTTCAGTTTTCTCTCACTCTTCTGTTTGGATACTTTTTCTAATTATGATCCTGTGTTCATTCTCACCAAGTTTTAAACTCCGAGACAGTGAAATGTTTCAGGCGGGCAGCCATGCGCTAGAAGCAGTGTCACCCCCGCACGCTGGAACAGCCACCAGAGAGAAGTTGTGTGGACGCAGACAGGAGCGTCTGCAGACCAGTCCGCTGCCCAGCCACGTGGCCAGAGCCCCTCCGAGAGCTGGATGAAAACGTGAAGCCAAGCGCAGACACACAGATTTTAACACAGGATCTTTTCATGGAGCTGAGCCCCACCCCACCCCCAGCCTCTTTTTTGCTTCTGGGGCGGGGGGGGGGGGGGATCTTTAAGACTTTAAAATTCTAGCTTACTGAGTAGCTGTCATTTAAAGTGTAATTGTTCATATCAAAAGAATGTCATAATGGAAAACTAAATTTTTAAATGCTTATTTTCATAGAAGCTTGAAAAATTAATGCAGGCAGGAGTGTAATAAATTATTTTTGAATTGAACATTAAAGTTCTTGGGAAAGTCAGCACTCCTAAGTTAGGTGTGTTGAGATTAGAATCTATTCTTGTATTTGGTAGATAAAATATGTAAGAAAAGTTATTTTTCATGCTTTTTCTTTCCTTTTTATTCTTCCAAAGTGTATTTCTACTGTAAGATAGAATCAACTTGGGTTATAGCAGCCGTATTACTTTATTTGGTTAAGATCTTTTGTCAGTTATTTCTGGAATAGTTCTAGAAGATGAGATGGGGTGGGGAAGAGTAGGTTTTCCAGGATTGCAGGACTTGGGGGGTTGTATTCGGGCCTCTGTGTTATAATTTGTCACTGTGTATGAAAAACATTGTGTTGCAAACAGAGGCGTTGCATCAAATTGAACTTTGGCAATGAGCACAGCAAACAACTTCCTTCTCCAAAAGGTTCGCAGCCCGAGTGTGTATTTCTGTGCATCCACAGTTACCATTCCTGTGGGAGACCCTGGGACGCGGCGTGGCGACCTCGGCCACCTCTCCCTGGCCGCGCGTCCCCTCTCTCTAATTCCTTTCTCCAGCTCTGGTGGTGGTCTTTGAGAATGCAGGACCCCACCCAATGGCACAGCTCCTAGGCGTGAGCCAGGAGCCCGTGAGCCCAAGCAGTGCTTGCTGGGCACTAGGTCAGCCTTAGCAGTTTGTGTGAGGGCACGGTCAAAGGCAGCCTCTTCCCAGCTCCCCACCTGAGTGCCGTCCCACATGCCTGCTGCGGACAAAGGATTCCCAGAGGCGCCTGCCGGGGAAAGCTGCTGGCCTACATCATGCCGGGTGCCCTGTGCGGAGGCCCGGGCGCTAGCCTCCCCTGTACCAGCACCAGCCCTTATCAAAGGCCCCGGCCTCCCGCACTGGGAGGTGCCCCTGACACGAGGTTGGGACGGCCCTCATTTTCTCTCTCACTTGTTGTTTTGATTACTCATTTGTAATAAAAGATTGGCACTGATGGGGTGCAACCTGCAAATTATTTTCAATTCTGAGTTGCAGATAAAGCATTATAAAACATCAAAAGTCAATGCTCCTTTGAAATTTGGGTAAAAAATTATACAACCGTCTATATAATCATTTTTGTATTTTTTCTATGTTGTCAAAACCAAAATTGTAATTTTATAAGTCTTTGATTCACTAAAATTATATAATTTAAATGTATTTTTTGTATATTTAGAAATAAGGAGTTCAAAGACTATGCTTAACTTTCTACGCATGCATTTGAAAGCTGTTTTTACCTGATAATGTTCATGTAGTCATAAGATGTATTCATAAAATACTGATCTGTGTCGCATTTCAAAATAAACCGCTGTGCGCTCTGCCTGGATCTGAAACCCTGGCCGGCGAGTGGAATGCTTTCTCGGGAGCGCCGGCGCCGAGTGCACTGTTGCGGGAATACGGGAGAATCTGGATTCTGTTGCGGACTCCAGCGCTGCCTTGGACAAATTAAAAAAAAAAAATCTATTTCTGCTCTTCGTGATGGTTCTGCACTTACAGGAAAAACATTCTACCGAGAGGTTTCCAGGAAGCCCTTCTTCCCCGGCCACAGTGGGCTGCGAGGGATCCCTCGTCCGCTAGTGGGGTGCCTGCGAGGGCGGATGCCGCGGGCGCCGCGGCGCTACCCCCAGAGCTCAGCAGGCTGTGGCGAAGCCCCAGTGCCTGGGATGGACGCGCGAAGCACCCGCGACGCGGAGGCCGCTGCCAGGGGTGTGGGAAGCGCGCGGGTCACTGCGACCCGGGACCCCCGCTGACCCCCGTGCCGGCCACTTCCGGTCGCCTGTCCGGGCCTCTGCTGAGGCCATCCCCCAACCCCGGGCTGCGGGGGTCTTCCTCCCGGGTCCCGGGCCGCCTGACAGCGCGGTCCCGGTTCCCGGGGGAGCGCGGCGGGATCCTGAGCTCCTGGTCTCCGCCTCACAGGTGGGCGCTGCCGCTGGGAAACGAGAGAGAAGGCGGCGGCCGGCCGCGGGAACGGAGCCGCGAACGCTGCATTCATGGTAGAGGCCCCCAGGCAAACTCAACCGCTTGGGTCCCGGGGAGGTAGAGAACCTGCGGCGCTCTCGTTTGTCCATGCCGCATTTTGTGGCAATTAGGTGTACTATGTTAACAAAAGGTTTAGCCTGGAGAAATTGCCATCGGTATAATTAAGATTAAGTCCCCCTTAGAACATTCCAGAAATACTGCTGGGTTGCCCTGTGCCCTTTAACGAAAAATCAAAACTAGCTTTGCAATTCCTCGTATTACTTAAATTAAAAAAAAAAAAATCAGCCTCACAACTAGCCTGGCTCATTGTCATAGGGGTTAGTGGTAAAGAAACTGTTCCGAGCGGCTACTACCAAAAATAGCCATACTTATTAACATTCCGCTGCCTGCAACCCCAGCCAGAGTTACAAGAGAGCCGTGTGCAAGTTTTGACCAATAGTTTCTTTTAAACGTGTGAGAGATTATTTCGTCTTTCGTTTACAGAGATACCCTTGGTGTTACAGAGCAAGCCGCGTTCCCCATAAAAATAACCTTTTCCCCAGCAGACAACTCATGCTAACATTTGCTCTCATTTGATGAGCGGAAACAAGGCTGTGAGTGGCCGTGCCTTTGCAGCTCCTACTCCGCACCTCGAAAGTGCGTCCTGCCTTCTGCCCCTCAACCCCTAGTACGGCCTTCCGACCGACCGGGGCAGCACTTTGCGGGCGTCGGTGGCGGGCGCTGCAGGCAGTGCGGGCGCCTCTGCCGATGCGGCGCCCAGTTCCACCCGGGAACGCCATTTCTGTCTCCGTGCGCCGTAGCCCTGCGTCGCCGCTGGGGGGCAGCACGTCACAAGCGATCCAGGGCCCGGGGCGCCGCGGGAGTCTGGAAAACAGCTTGGGGCCCCGGACGCCCGGGGAGGCAGAAGGGCGCACCCGGGAAAGTGACCCATGGTTCCTGACGGCCCGCGTGGAGGAAAAGCAGGCCGATTTCGAGGCGCGATCTGGAGAAATTCGGGAAGGAGCAGTTTTTGAGAGGAGAGGAGCCAGCCTGGGTGCGGCTCCGCCTGTTTGTGGCTGCCTCAGGCTCCCATGGCCGGCTGCGTAGCAGAGCAGGTGTTGGCGCTCCGCGTCCGGCGGCGCCTGGCCTGTGAGCGTTCGCGGCGCTCGGGGAGGTCAGTTCCGTCTCATGCTGTCTCGGGGTATTTTTGGATGGTGGCCTGGGCCATGAGAAAATGTCAGGCCACCTTATAAGGCGGTGTCTGGTCCCTGGCGTGCTTATGGGCAGCGTGTTCCCAACGCCCTGGTCTGGAGGTAGCAGCGTTCTCACAGATGGAACTTGCTTCTGTCCGTGCCCGTAGCTGTTTGAATGATGACCATTCTGAGCAAACCAAATACAGGGATGCTTCGTAGAATTCATGGAAAACGGGAAAGATAAGTTGATTATGGCACAAAAAGTGTTGAAATCCGTGCATAAAGAGGGTCTAAAGAAAAGTCATCGAAAATGCACGTTGTAGATAAGCTGTGCAGAGATCTCAAAACTTTTTGCACCAAAATGAGCTCATCTTGCGATGTTATTCTTCCACAGACATTATGAAACGCCCTTGTAGAGAACCAAGGAGCGATGTCAATCAGGCGACATCCGCTGTGGTTCCGCTGGGGCTGTCCTCACTGTAGGGATGGTGAGTCTAACTAATGAAGTTAACGTGAAACCCACAGGCTTAATTCTGAGCGATGGTTGGCATGTGGGTAAGCTAGGGAGAGGGGTCTGTGGTTCAAAACCTGGGAGCCAAATTAAATGCTCTGTAAGCTCTCCCGATTCCTCTGTGTAGGGTTGCACTTGTGAATCTCCATGAGATGGGGAAGCTAAGGTTATATGTTCCAAACCTGTTTTTCACCTTGATACTTGAAATGTCTGCGGAACCAAGGCTGTGCGAACACACCTGGAAAAACGCTAACCTGCTGCTGGTGGCTCCCCCACCCCGCCCCATGGAGAGGCAATGTTGACCCATGGGGCAGGGGTGGGAGGGAGTGGGGGGAGATGAAGATGAGAGCTCAAAGGGGACCCAGCAAGGTTTCTCCTTGTCTCCACTGTCATTTCTAAGGTTGTTTTCTTGTCAACAGAGGCCACCACCATAAAATAGGTAAAGGGATCAACAGGGTGAGGCCCCAGGTGTCAGCAGCCCTGGGTGAGGTCTGCCATTGGCTGCTTCCCCACGGGAGCCACACGTGCCCACTGGGGAGGAGAATGTGTCCGAGCAGACCAGCCGCCAGTGCCTCACGCCCTTGGGCTGCCTCCCTGGCGCACTGTCTGAGATTCCCTCTAAACCCCATCCTGCCTAAGCCTCTGGTGTCCTCTCAGCCCAGAGCATCACCTTCAGCTTCACAGAGAGCCGTCATCAGACAGCAACGCTGTCAGCTTTTGGCCACCAAACCTATAAACCTGTCTGCCCTAGGCTCAGTCTTCCTGTTACAGTAGAAGAGGTGAGGTGCGCTTCCTGGCGCTGCCGGTTAAATGGCTGCATGTTATTTGGGGTAGGGGTGGGGGGTTAATTTGAGAGGTAGAGTGACAGAGAGAGAGAGAGAGAGAGAGAGGTCTTGCATCCGCTGGTTCACTCCCCAGATGGCCACAACAGCCAGGGCTTGGCCAGGCTGAAGCCAGGAACCAGGAGCTTCCTCCACCTGCTTTCCCAGGCATGTTAGCAGAGAGCCAGATGGGAAGCAGAGCAGTAGGCACTCCTGTGGGATACCAGAATGGCAGGTGGAGGCTTACCACTGGGCCACAACACCAGCCCCGAATCCTTGCTGTGCTCCTGTGTCCTGTTAATGCCCCTGGGGGCAGCAGATGGTGGCCCTCTGGGCCCCTACGACCCGCACTAGAGACCCCAGTGGAGTTCTTGCCCCTGACTTCAGCCTGGGACAGCGCTGGCTGTTGCAAGCATTTGGGGAGTGACCCAGTAGATGGAAGATCTCTCAGTCTCTCTCCATCACTCTCTCTTTCAAGTAAATGATAAATAAGTGCTTAAAATAGATTGTTAATGACCCCTTACCCACAGCCAGTCCCAACCTTCTTTACCTCTCCCAGGGACCTCCCTCCATCCAGCCTCCCTGGGCTTCCTCTTGCTGCCTCTTGGTCCTGGTCTTCTACTTCCCTCTTCTGATCCCTGGGGGAAGCCACTGCAGGCACTTCTTGCATTCACTTGCCTCTGTCTCCCCCCCTGCTGCCCTACTGTTGACAGCTCTGATCAGGGTCACGTGGGACCTCCTTGTTCTGAAATCCAGAGCACACACTTTAGTCCTGGCCTCATGGTTGGAATTGGAGTGCAGTCCTTGGATGTTGTAGTAGTGGCATGGTTCTGAAGTAGACTGTGGAGCCCAACAATGCCCTGGCCCAGAACCCTCATTTCTGCTGCAGGCATTCCCAGTGAAAGTGGGTGCACAAGCAAGCAGAATGTGTCACAGGGGAAGCTGTCACGCCCCGGGCTGGAGTCCTGGTAGAGCCCCCCGATCCCAGAACCTCCCAAATCACTCTTGAGTGGCAGAACCAGAGAGAGGCTGAAGGAAGCTGCATGGCCTGCTCCCCTCCCCTCCCCCTCAAGGTCTGGACCACTGTGATGGGGAGAACTGGCGTCTCCCACAACCACCAGCTGCAGTGGACGCGAATGCCTATGCCGCCACCCTTGGCAGCTTGTGGCCCCGGCTCGTGGAGGCCCAGGCGGGGAAGGACAGCCAAGCATCCGAGGAGAGAGCGCTGTGCTACCCGCTGAGGACCGGAAGAGGCAGCCGAGAAACCACACCCACACGCACAGACCTCTTAACGCCCAGGGTTGCTCTCAGTCTCACTAACAAATGTAGCTGCATCAGGATCCACAGAGAACTGTAAGATCAGCAAGCCTCCTCCTTGGGGAGGAGCAACGCTGAGCTGAGCGGGGTGGGGGGGACTGCAGGGACCTTGGACTCCTTCCCAGGAAGCCAGCGTCTCTCCTCTGCCGTCAGCAGCCATCTTTCTTGAAAGGTTCTTTCTCTTGCTGGTTTCCTCCCGCCTACCCCCCCCCCCCCAGCAGCTCTCACACTTGCCTGTGCACCCAGAACCCTGCAGGTCTTATGGAAGAACACACCTTCCAGCTTCTGACCTGGAGCTCTGACCTGGCTCCGCCTGTCTCTTCACACCCAAGGCCCCTGACCAGCAGCCCCCAGAGCAGAGGCTGTGGACATGTTCTTTGGGGCTCACATTTTTTTTTTTTTAAGATCTATTTATTTGGAAGGCAGAGTGATAGACTGAGGGAGAGCGAAAGAAAGATCTTTCATCCACTAGTCCACTCCCCAAATGACCACAACCGCCAGGGCTGCACCAGGCTAATGCCAGGAACCAGGAA